TTCAGGTCTAGGTGTGGGTGAGACTGCTCTGTTATAGTTTCTTGACAATATCTACTAGAGTATAATTCCTCTAGATCTGAAGACCTATGAACCACAGAAATCTACCACCCTTTACTCTCTCCTACAAGACTAACATAAAAGCATGGAATACTGCATATACTCACACTCAAGAGAAGGGGAAACAAGAAGCACACAGGAGTCAGGATAATTCTGAGACTGATCAGTTGGAATGCTGGCAGTTTGCTGCTTAGTATTCAAGACCAGAAAACGATTTGCCACGAATCTTTGTTTTACCTTTTGAATTATCTTTGCTTTTTCATGAAGGGAAATCCATGTCCAAAGTCAAGTTAATTTCAGCCTTCTTTCTACCTGTGGAAGTCTGCTGGTCAAAAGGTCTCTGTTCATTTTTGTACTGTCTATCCTTTTAAGACTAAGCTGGCAGTATTTCTTCTAATACAACTTCATATAAAACACTAGTTTGCTCTAGCTACAAAAAGCCATGGTGTGAGAAACTGAAAATGTAAATAAGATCATAAGTGTATCATAGATATTGTGAAATAGGAAGAAACTATTCAAAAGGAAAAGGGAAATAGGGAGAGGAAAAGAAAGAAGGGGAAGAAAAAATTAGAAAATCAGGATAAAATAAAAACAGAGCTTTGTGAATGGGGAAGGAAAGGGGATTTGAAAAGAGGGGATGGGAATGGGAAAAAAAGAGGAAATAATATATACCATGTATACATACAAATCTCCTATAATGAATGTCATCATTCTGTACACCTAATTTTTTTTTTTTTTTTCTTTTTAAGACAGGGTCTCACTATGCAGTTCAGGCTGGCCTTGAACTAACTCTGGAGCTCAGGCTGGTCTTGAACTTGCAACAATCCTCCTGCCTCAGCCTCCTGAGTGCTGGGATTATAGCCATGCTCCACCACACCCAGCTGTATACCTAAATTGTACCAAGAAACTTAAATCTTGTGAGAACGATGCACTGCCTACTGTGCTAAGGAGGCAGGTTAAACTTAAATTTTAAAAAAGCCATATCCATGAATACGTCTGAGAAAATACTTTTCTCCTTGTGATCTGTGCTAGGCTTCTAATAGACAATGCCCTAAGTTGTTAAAATTCCTATTATTTGATTGCATAATCCTCTTAGGCAACATTTTACATCTTCCTGAGTTTCCATAAAATTCCATCACTATTTTGGCTTGAACTTTAGATCATGTTTTTCTCATAGTGACCTGGATTTGATGTTTGAGTCAGAGAAATTTTAAAAATTTCAACAGTATTTGCTATCTGGAGAAGTGAGAATTCTCAAAACCAATACCTGGACCCTTCATGTTTTACATTCCTTTCTTCAGTTTCTTTCTTCTCATATTTACTGTATTCTACTTCAAGGCAACAAGGAAAGGCCAGGAAGTTCCTTTGCAAACCTCCCAGGAAATATCCTTGAATCAACCTACCAAACCGTCTGATTAAGTACATTTTCTATTTTATCCACTTCTGCAAATGATAACGTTGATAAACTTTCTGCCAATACACAGGAAGGATCTTCTTTCTTCTAGTGTTCAGTAACAATTCCTCACATTCTTGAAGCCTTCAATGGCAGATGCCTCCACGCTGCCGAACTTCTCCTAACAGTCTATGGTAGGCCCTGTGGGTTTCTATAAATATCCTCTTCCAGGTTCTTCCAGAACTCCCTTTGGTTGAGGTGACAGCATCCTACTTCCAAGCACCAGAATCTTTTAGTTATTGACTGCTGAGTATTAAAATATACAAAGCTGAGTGGCTTAAAGCAATAAGAAATACTCGTTTATCTCATAGTTTCTCAAATACACTCAACTGATCAGATCTGGTTCAGGGTCTGTCAATTGAGTAACTCAGTCAACACTGCACTCAAGTGTTAGCTGGGGCTGTAGTAATCTGAAAGTCTGGTTGAGATTGGAAGATCTCCTTTCAAGGAATTTCACCCACATGGCCGGCAATTTGGTGCGGAGTTTTGGAGGAAGGACTTAGTCTATCCCGCATGGGCCACTCTTCTGTCATTTTGGTTACTACTTAAATAGCCTCACAATAATGGCAGTTTATTTCCATCAGAACTGACCGATCTAAGCCCATGATCAGAAGTCAATGCCTTTCATGACTTGGCCTTGCAAAGCAATTATGTGACTTCTGAAGCTTTTGATTAGTCATATGAGTCAGCCCTATTCCAAGGTACGAAGTCCTGGAGGTGTGAGTCACTGCAGATCTCTTGGAGGCTGTCCACTACATCTAGTGACATAGCTCAGGTTCTTTTTATAATAGCTAGAAGTGTGTATGGGTTGTCTGGTGAGGCAGAGGCCACAGAAACATATTTAGAAGGCAGGGAGGGAGAAATATTACTTCCTAATAGGGAGGAGTGGGCCATTTCTGTAGGCTGAGGATGAAAGAGAAAATAGCAAAGGCTTTTGACTCCTAGATTTCCCATTCTATGTCTCAGTACCCTTCCTTACAATCAATGTCCTGCAATGGTATAAAAGTTCTAACTGTCTTCAGAGATCCCCTATTCTTATGACAAAGTTTGTGACTTAGTTCTTTTTGTTTGTTTGTTTTTGTTTTTTCAGGAATCGAACTCATGACCTTGCACATGCCAGGCAGGTGCTTTGCCACTGAGCTAAATCCCCAGCCCCTGTAACTTAGTATGTAAGACTTTTTTCTCCTTTTTGACTACTGAGAATGAAAAAAATCTATTTACACGCTTCCTGAAAGGCTTACTAGATACTGCATTTTGCCTTCGCTAGTTAATCATACGTAGCCTTTCACTGTTTCCTGTGTATCACTTCTCCCTAACAATAGCCATTCATTTTCATGATTGTTACAATTACTGTACTAATTCCCAATATATTACTCATCTTTCTGTTACTGTGGCAAAATATCTCAGAGAAACCAACTTAAAGGAGAAAAGTCTATTTTGGTTGACAGTGTTGGAGGTTTCAGTCCAGGATGACTTAGCTCCACTGTTTCTGGGCCTTATGGTGGAAGAGCATAGAAGAAAAAAGCTGCTCACCTCATGGTAGCAGGATACAAACAGAGAGAGCAAGATATAGAAGAAGGACCAAGAATAAGGCACAGCCTTGAAAAGTATGCCCTGTGGGCCTACTTCTTTGCACTAGGCTCTGCCTCCTAAGGTTTCCAACATCTTCCAATATCCAGTTAAATTATGAATCCATTAACAGCGCCCCCATAGTCCAATCACTTCTCAACAGCTCTGCCTCTCAACGCTGTGCTCTAGGACCCACCCTTCAACACAAGAGCTGTGGGGGACATTTGAGATCAAAGCTATAACACTCCATATTTTTTCAAATGATTCATACATATAACCAATCTATACAGTTCTTCCCCCGGTATGCCATCTTAGTTCATCACATGTGAACATTGTACTCTACATGGTTCCACAGTCCACCTCTCATCATCTGCGTTCTCAGGCAACTCTGAGTAACAATAATCACTACTTGGGTTTCCTGGTAAGGATACTCTAAGTCAGGAACTGGTATTCAGGTCATTTATATATGATGGAAATTGAGTGCTCTTGGGACCAACATCTGTGTGAAGAAGGAAGAAGGGAAACACACAGATTTGGAAAAGAGAATAGCTGGGGAGCAACACAGTAACAACAATATCAACCTGACAAGGAGTTTTGAAGCTGACCTGCACAGGAGAAAAGAGCTGGGTCTTTATACCTCCACCTTGAGCAGTCATTATATCTAAATTGTACCAGGAAATGGGCCCACTCTGGGGTGAGGTGGTTCTATTCAACTAAGGCTACTGTCGGAGAGGGTGGCCAACATTCACAATGGCCATGTTTTCAGAGAGGCTTCACTGGATAAACTACCTGAAATATCTCCCTCCCCATTCTACCCCTAAATTACCATATCATCATCCTTGTTATTTTCCTAGTGACATTTACTATGTACTGTAATTATCTTCTTTAATTGCTAGTCCACTTTTATTCACTCTAGAAAGTAAGTTCCTTGAGGACATGGATCTTATCTGGCTTTTTTACTGCTACATCCTCAGTGTAATGGATGAATGAAGAGAACGCCAGGTCCTCGGTTCTTCTGAGCACTGTCATGACCATGCATATGCAGGTGTGGGTTACGTATGCAAAGCAAAGGGCTCTGTACACTGGGGGATGTTTCCAGGAAAATCAGGTAGCAGGCACATAGAGGAATAGGACACAAAGATAAAATGAGCTGTGGAAATGGTTGCAGCACATGTATTCCTTGAAGAAACTCCATCCAGACTCAATTTATATTACAGTTTATTAATTAATATTCACAAAACAGTTGATATTAATGAATTTCCAAAGAACATCAGAGAAAAAATAAGTTTTGCATTTGGGTTGATGTAAACCAAAATAGAGATATCATATAGCATAATGAAGGCGGGGAGGAACACAGGAGTGTAGCCCCAGTCCCTGCAGCCAAGTTAGCCAAACTCTCAAGGAAGGCTTTTGTTATCTCCAAACTGTGGAGTCAGAGCTCAGATCAAGTTTAAGTAGACCTTTCAGAGGCAAAGAAATCTCAGAAAATACACGAGCTGTCCAAATACTACATTCCTGACCCAGATAAACCAAGAGACCCGAGTGTCCCCTCAACAAACACCTAGGCAGTGGAGGTTATACATTGATAAATTCAAAACATCTCTGAACAAAATTTAATATTCACATATTCAAATCATCAATCTTCATTAAATACTATATCTTCAAATGAAAGCCTATACAGAATATACCATTAGAGTTCATAGAGAATCTGATTCTATCCTAGGGGAACGAGAAAAATCGAATTAAAAAAGTTTTGTACTATATAAATTTCATTTTGAGTTTTCCCAAAGAAACTGAACATCACAGCTATGACCTTTTCTTAGCATCTGATCTCTTTTCTTGATATGTCCAGTAACAAGTATTTACAATGAATGCAAACTCAACTTCAGTCCCACTATGAACAGAGAGCTGGAAGTACTACCTTGTGCACATGTTTGATCTGGATGCCGGCCACCAAGTCGGTGGGTTCATCTTCAAAATACTTGCTTTGCACTGTCTTCTCATATTGGATTGTTTCACCCTTTGTTGCATGTTGTTTCCTAGCCCAGTAAGAGCGCTGAGAAAGGAATAAAAATATTATCACCGCAATGGTAATGAAAACGAAACATTAGAAAATACTTTGGACTAATAGTGTTTATCTTGAGGTAAATTACAAAAAAATTCTTGGGATTGAATCTTGGAGCTAACTGGCTATAATTTGAATCTCCAGGGCATAAAAGCAGATTATAGTAAAGCCATAATTATTCAAGAAGGATGAAGAGAAAACACTCCAACATGAGGTCACAGTGAAAGTCGTGTTATTACTCTTTGTTAGTTTTTCTCCTCTGAGTAATATGTGAGCCAAAGACAACATGAGAAAATAGTGAGAAAAGAGGAAAAGATGTTTACACTCTCCATTTTTCTATGATTCTGACTCTAAGGAGTATAGGCAGCCAAAGAGGAAAAGCAGGTAGTGAGTGCCCAGATATAATTAACCCTCTGCTTGTTAGGAGGACCATCATTTATTAGTTTCTGTATGCCAGAGCGTAATCATTTATGAAACACCTGCCTGCAAAAGTTATGGATTACTCACAATTTGTTTAATTTGAGGCATCAGGCTATGACCTACACATACATATATGGCCATAGTATGATCAAAATAAATGGTGGATATTTAAAATTTTAAAAATTATTATAATAAAAAACACATTGCCATTGATCCCCTTTCAAAATACTCACCCTTTCTTTGAACACATATATCCCATCATCCCCACCACTTTCTGAAGCAGTTCTGTAATCCTTTTTTGTGAGTGTCTTTATGAGGTACGACTAAAAAAAAAAATAAGGTGAATGCTACTGCCAAGTACCGTCCAACAGAAAGGCAGGATCGTAAAAATATTACAGCGTATCTTTATTGACCTTATTCACTGTATCTGGCATTGTGCAATTTTTGGCTCTTCCTCACGGTCAAAATGACCAGAAAAGGTCAATGTTTTGAATTGATTCGGTACATTGAGGCAACCACAACAGTGCCACTCACGAAAGAGGACTTCTGGAACTGCTTTAAAAAGTGGCAAGAACAATGGGATAAGTGCTTTGGAATTGAGAGGGAATACTCTGAAGGAGACTAATATATGTAATATAGATAGATAGATAGAGAGAGAGAAGTATATAGATATATGTTAATATATATAAAATATATGTAATATATAGATATATTATATATAGATATATATTAATGTATGTAATAGATATATATGTAATATATTTTTCTAAAAAATTTAAACATCACATTTTTCTCTAATACCTTGTATATGTATAATTATTACTACAGCTGTATCTATATCTATGTTTGAGGGCTTACAGTGTATTAGGTAAAGTCTCGTGTTACTACAGCTGGAGTGCAGATAAGAATCACTGTTTCATCTGATGTCTTGATTCAATTAAAATTTATTCATGATGGCTTTAACATATATTATAAATAAATTAATAAGCACTATATCAATAATCAGCATTAGAACTCACCATCAAGAAAAAGTTCCATGGTTTGGGCATACCATATTTCCCCGGAAAGACAGCTCCTACATACCAGGCCACGAGACCATATAAGAAAGAGTCAAGTAAAAACATTCCCATCACATAAACAAATAAAAAATCGTCCAAATGTGTTGATGAGAAGATGTTACTCCATTTAACTCCCGTTTCTAAGACATAACAGGAGACATTTAATTAGGTGCCAAGTGAGTTATCCATCCTCATCATAATTGAATAACGAAGAAAATAATGTGCTGGTACTGTCTAGAGATTCGTAAAGGAGTCAGGTTGTACCAGATGGCATCTTAGTAAGAAATCATGGTTGTCCCTCCTTATACCCAAATAGAGCAAATAGTTAGAAATGACTGGAACAAAAAATAAAATGTACCAAATATTCAGGAAAATAAACTTTAATAAAAATAAATGTACCTATGGGTTAAGACAATAGCACCTCTCTTTCTACCCTTCTTCATGTTAAGTGCTCACTGGAATGTACAATTTTAGGAAAACAATCACTGAATAGTAGGGATGGATTCTGACTACCAGACAGGAGGCCAGGAGCTTTTTTATTTGCATAGACATTGCACCGACAGAAAAAGGGAAGAGGCTATTAAAAAGTAGAATGTATCACTTCCTGCCCTAATACTAGATAGAAGACGGCAACTCCAAAAGAAGGAAAAAGCATTACCATACTTGCAGTAAATTCTTAGAAGGATACTATAGGTGCTGATATAAAGTAGCATAACTTTTAAAAATGCAGTTTAGCAACATCAGTCAAAATTAAAAGCAGGAATACCCAATAAGACAGCAAAAATATATCTATTAGCACACAGCAAAATTTACAAGGAAAACACTCACTCATTGCTTCTGCCTCAGCTATAAACTTAAATCCCAATGCCATGGCAACATTAAAGCTGAGGCAGGAAATCAGCTTCTGGTGGAATATCATCTTATTATAGTCACTTACTAATAAAGTAGATGGAATATAAATGATTAAAAAAATGAAACCTCCAAAAATAACAGCAACAGTGGCTGAAAATGAGAAAAAAAATAGAGGGTCAGTTTAAGTAATTTTCAAAAATGTAAACTACAGATACTTTTTTATATGAATACAGTAAAATAAGCTCTATGAGAATAAAAACCTGTCTGTTGTTCACCACTGCTTGCCTCAGGACGTAACATAATACACTTGGAGCATAGTAGACACTGAAAATATTTGTTGAATGAAAAAGCTGAAATGATAAAGCTCATGAACTAATTTTTATGGAATGTATCATTCTATAGTAGTATGGTTATTATAACATTTAGTGGAAAGAGTTACATATTTATTTATTAGCACTCAGCATAAGAAAGTTAAATATGGGGCTGGGGATTTAGCTCAGCGGCAAAAGCGCCTGCCTGGCAAGCGCAAGGTCGTGAGTTCGGTTCCCGGTACCGGAGGAAAAAAAAAGAAAAAAAAAAAAAAAAAAAAAAAAGAAAGTTAAATATAAGTACTATTCTTAGCATAATTAGAATATACTTAGGTCATCTCTAGGCATTATGAAATTCAGCGTACATCATGATAGTGAGAAAAAGAATGCCTGAATAAAGACAAACCTGCTATAAAAAGCCAGTTATGGTTTAGAGTATTAAGACTTACAAAAACATGATTCTGATATTCAGAGTTATTCATATTATTAATATTCAAAATATTTAGTACTTTTAACAAAATTTATGACACATAAACAAGAGTATGGTCCATGCACAAGAAAAAAGGGGGAAAAAAAAAACTCTCCCTGAGGAAGCCCAGAGATTGGACTTACTAAATGAAGGCTATAACTAAACTGCTTCAAATACGTTCAAATAACCAAAAGAAAGAACCAAAGGGAAGCAGGATGAACATATCTCATAAATAGAGACTAACCGTAAAGTGGTAGAAAAGGAACCCAAACAGAAATTTTGGGTCTGCAAAATAAAATAAGTACGTAAAAAATTCACTAGAGGGGTCCAGTAGTCCATTTCAGCAAGCAGAAGAGAGAATTAGCAAAGCTGAGGATAATCCAGTCGACATTATACAATCTTAAAGAACAGACAGCAAACAGAATGAAAAATCAGCAGAGGCTGAGAGCTGCAGGACACCTTGAGGGGTACCACCAACATCTGCATAACCAGAGTCACAAAAGAAGAGGAGAGAAAGAGCAAAAATCAGAAGTTATTTGAAGAGAAAATTCCCCAAATTTGGAAGGTCATGAATCTACACATTTAAAAGGCTCAACTCTAAGTAGGATAAGTCTAAGAAACTTACCTAGACATTTTAAAAATAAAAATTTCAAAAATCACAGACAAAAACAGAATCTTAAAACCAGGGCTGGGCAAGCAGGCTGCATCTTAGGGGTAGAGCATTTGCCTGACATGTTTAAAGATCTCAGTTCAATTCCCAGAACCTCAAGAGAAAAAAAAAAAAAGTAGTAAGAAAGAAAAAGACAGCTGTATCAAAGCATCTCATAATGTACAACATGAAAAGCTAACTTCTTTGTTAGAAACTTAGAGCTCAGAAGTCAGTGGGAGTAACTTTATGAAGTACTGAAAGCAAAAGTAAGCGAATAAAAATGTGTCAAGCAAGAATTGTATTGAGATAAAACTAGCCTTCAGGAATGAGAGACTTCCCATCAAAGTCTGCATGTAATGAGCTTGGAAGTCACTACTGCATCCTAACAACAAGTAAATGGCTGAAAAAAACCTGATAAAAATCCACTCTTCATCTTTGCCAGAGCAGAGGACATAGGGTAAACTGTTACGCCTAAGACCAGAAAAAAAAACAACATGGGGGAACACGGGAGTTCTGGGTAACTGAGGCAGACACTAAAGAGTTGAACCCCCTAGGGAAAGGTTTCCCTAGGAACAGTTGAGAGGGTAGGAAAACATCAGCTGTCATTAATAAATTGCTTGAGGTTCAGTGTGGACAATCCCAGGGAGACTCAGCCTGGGGGACGGGAACCCACAATATTGTGGGAAGAACCTCCAGTGAGTTGAACAGATTCCCATAGCAAATATTAGGAAAAACTCCCTCATGTTTGGAGCAGCGGAAGGAGAAAGAGACATTCTGAAACAGATAAAGCACTCTGCTCTTCTGAACAAGATCTGACCTCAGGAGGAAGTAGTTCACAGACCCTAAACTGTTTAGGTATTACCAGAGCCTAACTGGCCAGAGCGAAGGGAAATACTCAGCTACAGCCCACTACCTCCCTACTATCCCACCTAAGAGGGAAAAACACTGAGAGACACTTGTGACGTCCACAGCGCAGAGGCACGGGCTCAGTAAAAGACTAAGGTATAATTATAGGACTGGAAAATACTTCCCCTCTTCCCACACTTTTCCATTACATACCAAATGCCTTTTCAGAGAATTTCTTTTTACAAGGAACATCGTGTCCAGCTATCAGAAAAAGTTATAAGGCACACCAAAAAGCAAAACTCAAAATCTGAAGACACAGACTATCAGGCTCCAATATGGCATGGATGTTGGAATTACCAGACTGGGAGTTTAAAAACAATTATGATTGAAAATGCTAAGGGTTCTAGTGATAAAGTACACAGCGTGTAAAAACAGATGGGCAATGAAGGAAGACAGAAATCCTAACAAAAGAATAAAGAAATGCTAAAGATCAAAAACAGTGTAACAAAAACTGAGAAGCAAAGAGAACAAATACTGAAGAACACAGCACAGAGTATCTGTAGACTGGGTGACAAGTACAAGAAGGTATATAAATGCACACAGGAACATGAGAAGAAAGGAACCAAAGAAATAACTGAAACAACAATAGCTGGGAACTTGTCCAAATTAATGGCAGACACTGCATTAAATCTAGGAAGCTAGAGAACACTTCGCAGGGTAAATGTCACCTAACACCTACACCTAGACATATCACTTTCAAATTAAAGAAAATACAGGCCGGGCGTGGTGGCACATGCCTGTAATCCCAGCACTCGGGAGGCTGAGGCAGGAGGATCATTGTGAGTTCGAGACCAGCCTGGGCTACAAAGTGAGCTCAAGGCCAGCCTGAACTGCATAGCGAGACCCTGTCTCAAAAAGACAAACAAAACAAAACAAAACAAAACAAAATAATGAAAAAAATCCTGAACTTCAACGATGATGGCCCACTGATTTTCACTGCCCTCTGTGCATTTCTTATGATGGCTAATCTACGGGTCAAGTTGACAAACTATGAAGTGTGCACATCAAACACTGTTTCTGGTGTGTCTGTCAGCGTATATCCAGGTGCGACGAGCACTTGAACCTGCGGGCTTGGTGAAGTAGGCTGCCCTCCCCTTTTGGGTGAGCATAATTCAATCTATCAAGAGCCTGGAAAGAACAAAAAGCTAGAGGAAGTGGGGCATAAGGAATTCTCTCCTTTTCCTTCCTGACTTGCTTCTTGGCTTGACAATCTTCTCACGCCTCTGGACTGGAATTTATACCATTTGCTCTTCTCATTCTCTGACCTTTAGACTCAAACTCAAATTAAACCTCTGGGCTTCCTGGATTCCTTGGCTGCAGACTGCAGATCATAGGCTTTGATCATTGAACCAACTCTTCATAATAAATCATTCGAACCAACTCTTCATAATAAATTTTATTTCCCATAATGTATATCCTACTGGTTGTTTTTCTAAGAAACCTAACTAAAATAAATTTTTATGTGCATGATATCTGTGCCCCTACCATCAAAGTTACTCTATGAGTCAGGTACTATATATTTCAAACACAGCAAACAATAAGTATCTATTAATGAGGACCAAGGAAATCTCTCTCACTGAATCAACTGTGTTGTTTTCTTGCTTTTCATGTATACCAGGCTCATCATCAGTTAGCAGCAGACATCAGTCCTCCCAATAGAATATACCCCTCCAATAGAATAAAGTACAGTACACATAAGCCATCCGCAGCTGATCCCTTACTGACGGGTTAGACAGACACTGCATATGAGGAAGCATTTAAAGATTAGAAATAACATAATAATAAATAACATAATAAATAAGAAATAACAATGAATAATAATAAATAACATAATAATAGGATGTGATCCTATTATTATACATATACTGTGCTATATTAATTTTTACTACTCTCCTCATACCCTATCATGTCATTTTACGTACATACACTTACTGCTTCAGTAAGAATATAAACACAGGCTATGGACAAGGTGGCAGCTAAAGTTTAGAAAAAGCTTTCAAAGATAAGCTTTGCTAAATCACAGGAGATATTACTCACTTTTATCAAAGAACGTGCTAACCATAAAGCTGAAGAATATTATGGCGATGGCATAGAACAGCAAAAAGACGAAGATGAGACTTGGGTCACTGTACTGGAAGACTGGTGCAGGTTCAATCTAGCAAAAAATCAGGAAGCCAATTTAACCATGCTCTAAGTGGTATCATGACAGAACAAAAGGGGAGAAATGATACCTCCATGAACATCTTATTAGGGTTAGTGAGACTAAAGACACTACTCAGCGAGATGCAAACATCAGATCTTATCCCTACAGAAGCTGCACTTATGTGGGTTTAAAGCAGCTGGGGAGGAGCAGCCTGTGTCTCTACAGTGGAGTCCGTAAAAGCCACATGCTCGTTCTTCTGCAACCTGAAAGCCACTATGGCCGTGTCATATTTTTGTTTTACCCCTTAAAGTTTAGTTACACCATGCTGTAGTGATATAGACACTTGCCTTGACAAAAAAGATAAAGCACATAAAAATGATGTCAAAAAGATAGAAAAAAAGGAATGTGATGAAATAGGCAGTCCAGAGCATCCAATTACTGAGTCCTGACATGAGCTGGAACTCCTGTGGAAGAGTTAACACAAATCAAATATGAAAGACAGTAAAACCACACAGCACCTTAAGTTTTCAAAATACATTCTTATATACTATCTAATTTCATGTCTATAACCAAATGAGTTAAATATTTTCTCCAGTGTATAAAAGAAATCAACACTCAGAATGTCAAGTAACTTGTGGTATTTTGAATTTTAGCAAAAGAATTTTAAAAGGACTTAATGTAGACTGCGTAAGACCAATGAAAAGATTCAAATGAATGACCTGAGTATTCAGAAGCTATTTTAAATTAGAGTTTCACTGAATTTTACTGTTGATATTAGGTTCTATGGCTTTAGGATCCTCAAGACTAGCTATCTATATCTATCTGGAACATACCAGGTGTTTAATAAACGTTTGCTGAATAAATGGATGTATGAATGAATGAGTGAATATGAGCCTCTTTGGAAATCTGCATACTGCTCTTTCCAAAGTTCTTAAAATTTGATATAGGTCTACTTTATTACCTGGAGAGGACAAAAAGAAATAGTGATCCCTTTTAAGCTTTCTAGGGATTAATGGCAGAACCAGACTTATTTAATAAATTGTAATGAACAATTGAAATGACAAAGTATATTTAACAGAACAAGTACAAGAGTTGCAGAAAACTGTAAAACATGGTTCAATGAAATAAAAGCAAGTCTAAATAAACACAAAGATACTCCATTTCCATAAATCAGAACCTTTAATATTATAAGATCTCTCAACCTGGTGTACACATTAAACAAAACTCCTTTCAAAATCTCTGCTGGTTACTGTATATAGATCGACAAATATGTACTAAAATTCATGTGGACTTCAAAATAGAACAGCCAAAACAATCTTGAAAAACAAAATTGGAGGATATAACCTACTCAGTTTCAAAACACACTGCAGTTACTTTGCTGAGTAATAGATCACCAGAAAGTCCTCCTCCTAAGTGAAGTGTCCTTTTGACCAGCATTCTCCTCTTAGTCTGTGGAGACCTCATTGCACCTTTTTTCTCTGTGCTTCTCTTCTGTGAGTCTGGCCTCTCCCCGCCTTTTCTGTACTGGAAATTGAACTTGGTCTTTCCACTGACCTATGTACCCAGCCCTTTTTATTATTTATTTATTTATTCGAGGCAGGGTCTCACTAAGTTGTTACATTGCTCAGGCTGGGCTTGAACTTTCAATTCTCTTGCCTCCATCTTCCATAGTACTGGGATTCTAGATGTGTGCCATCATGACCAACTCTGAGTTTGACTTTTTTTAGAATTCATTATCTTTTAATTATAAATAAAAATTTTTAAAACCACAAAGCTATGATAATCAAAATAGTGTGCTTGTGGTAAAAGGACAGACAAACAGATTAATAAGACAAAATAGAGAGTCCATAAACTAACCTAATATAAATGATTATTTTGTTTTCAAAACAAACAAACCCTTTAAAAGTACAGTACTGCTGGGCATGTTGGTGCACACTTGTAATCCCATCACTTGGGAGGCTGAGGCAGGAGGATCGCCATGAGTTCAAGGCCAGCCTGGACTACATAATGAGCTTAACGCCAGCCTGAACTACATGGTGAGACATTGTCTCAAAAAAAAAAAGTACAGTATTAAACAGTGTTGGGCTAGGGGTTGTAGTTCAGTGGCATAGCACCTGCCTGGCAAACATAAAGTCCTAAGTTCAATTCTTGGTACAAAAAAAAAGTGTTTTGAGCACATACAGAATCCTAAACTAATCTTGCTTTCCTAGGATAAAGTTCTTCAGGTCTTTTTTTTGTCTTTTTGAGACAGGGTTTCATTATGCAGTTCAGGCTGGCCTTGAGCTTACTTTGTAGCCCATGCTGGTTTTGAACTTGCAATGATCTTCCTGCCTCAGCTTCCCGAGTGCTAGGATTGCAGGCATGCTCCACTATGCCCTGCTCCATTTTATATAACTCCACATATTGTGGATTTTCTAATTATTATTAAGAATGTTTGTGTTTATGCTCACAAGGGACAGTAAGCGAAATATTGTTTATTACCTTTGTGTAGTTTTGTTTTCAGTGTACTTCCAGCCTCAGAGTTAGGGTTTAATTCTATTCTCTTATATAGTTCATGTATAAGCAGTACTATTTCTTTTTTAAATGTTTGGCAGTATTCCCAGTGGGGACACAGGTATCTGCAGTGTTGTTAGTGAAAAGAATTTTAAATACAAATTCAGTTTCTTTAGTAAGTACAGGGCTTTTCAGATTACATATATTTTTTAGTAGCTTTGCATTTAAAGAATTTTGTCTACTTCATCTAACTTTGCAAAATTAATGGGATAATGCATTAACAATATTTTGTAGGATCTGCAGGTATTTAAGAGATAAGTTCTCTTCATCAGTCTACCAAGAGAATTATATCTCCATAAATCCGTCTTGTGCTTTATTAATTTTCTCCCTTGTTTTCTCTATTTAAAATGTTTTTAAAATTCCATTTATTGTTCTTTTTTTCCTTCTCCCTCTTTTTATTTAAATTATTCTACTTCCAGCTCTTTGAGCAAAATTCTGAGGCCATTGCTTACTTGTCTTTATTACTAAAAAAAGTCCTAAAAGCTACAGTTTTACCTCAACTCTAAGCTTTAATTGTATATAATCAACTATAATGAGTTATACTTTCACTAATATACAGCTTAAAATATTTTCTAATTTAAAGAATAAATTATTCTTTAATTTATAGATTGCTTACATCATTGTTTAATTACCAAATAACTGGGGTTTTCCTAAATATTATTTTGTATTGAGTTCTAATTTTCATTCCACAAATACCAGAAATGTACTCTGTATTATTTGAGTTCCTTTATAAACTGAGACCTGTTTCATTGCTCACACATATATAGTCTAATTTCATTTAATTTGTAAATATTTGGGTTTTTTTTTCTAGTTATATTGCTCTTTCTTCATTTTGTAATTTAATTGCACTATTATAGAAAACACTATAGTATTTCAAATATATGGTATATCTACCATAGTAGTTGCCTGATCTACAACTACAGTGTTCTACAAATATCACTTAGGTTAAGGTGGTTGAGAATATTGTTGAGATTCATCTCAGAGCCAATGACAGAAATGGGTTGAAATAAAAAGATATTCAATGAAAATAGCAACAAAAACAGCTGGAGTGTTTGTCTTAATATTAGAATAAAATTTTAAGTAAAAACTTACAAAAGACAAAAAAAGACATTGTATGTTGAAGAAAAGGTCAATTCATCATGAAGATTTAACAATAATAAACATGTATGCACCAAATATCAGAGCCCCAAAAGAAATCAAGGGGAAAAAATCAATAAAATTAAAAGGGAAATAGTTCTATAATAATAATTCTACAAGAATAGAACAACTAATAGAATATAAGTAAGAAAATGAGTATTTGAACAACACTATAATGAAGCAGGCATAAATAACGTATATAAATAACATATACCTAACATGGAACTGAACAAAAAAATAGATTCACATTTGTTTAAAGTGTGTCTGGGCTATCTCCAGGATAAGACCATGTTAAGTCATAAAACAAGTCTTTTTTTTTTTTCTCCGGTACCGGGAACCGAACTCACGACCTTGCGCATGCCAGGCAGGCACTTTTGCCGCTGAGCTAAATCCCCAGCCACTAAAACAAGTCTTAATAATACTTAAAAAGGCAACTCCCCATGATGAATAAAATCATTATGTACGGCAAAAAAGTAGTAGTAAAAATTAATAAATTCAAAAGGCTAAAATCATGCAAGCTACCTTTTCTGATCACAATGGAATGAAACTAGAAAATAAAAGCATAAGGAAAACCAGAACATTCATAAATACATGGAAATTAAACAACACATCCTTAAGCAATCAAAAGCTAATGAAGAAATGACAAGGAGAAGTAGAAAATACCTTGAAATAAGTGAAAACAGAAATACAACATATCAAAACTTATGGGATATAGGTAAAAACAGTGCTCACCGGGAAATTTGTAACTATAAATGCCTACATTAAAAAAGAAGAAATATCTCAAATCATCTAACTTTACACCTTAAGGGCCTAGAAAAGAATGTCATATTAAACACAAGGGTAGGGGAAGAAATAAGTTAATGTACAGTTGTCTTGGTTACTTTTCTCTCGTTGCTGAGACAAAATACCCAACACCCAAAATGAAGGAAGGAAAGGTTTATTTAGCTTACAGTTTGTGGAGGTTTCAGTCCATACTTGGCTGGCTCCGAGGGAGAAGGTAGCAAAGCAACAAGAGCAAAGGGGGGAATGGCAGCCGAACAGCAAACAGCCAGAGCAAATGGGAGGAATGGCGGCAAGCTTCTTTCCCTGCCTTACTTTGTAAACAGGCTACCCCCACCTAAGGGGCATGTAGCTCTCACATAATCTCCATGCCCTCCTCTTCCACAGGCTCAGGATGTATACAAAGCAAGCACCCTGGCTTCCTGCTGAGTCACTTAGCCAAACCTCTAAACTCCCCAAGTTGACAAAATGTATCAACCATAACAAGAGTGAAGATAAATAAAACAATATGCAAATGACAAAAAAAAAATCCTTTGGAAAGATCAACCAAATTAACAAACTTTTGACTGGACTAAAAAACTGAGAGAAGACTAAATTACTAAAATCAGAAATAAAAGTGGGTATATTACTTCTGATTTTATATATAAAGATATGAAGAACTATATGACAAAAACAATACTATAAATAAAACACATTTATAGAAATACATAATTTATCAAAAATGAATAATGAAAAAACAAGAAAGTCTGAACAGATTTGTCACTAGTAGGGAGGGCAAAATAGTAATCAAGAAATCACCTAGTAAGAATAACCCTGGGTTAGATGTACAGAATTTGCTAGTGAATTCTGACCAAACATTTAAAGATAAAAGACAACCCCCACAAACTCCTCTGATATACTGATGTGGAGGTTAATATTTTCTAACTCCTTCTTTGAAGTGAATCTTGTTCTTAGAGCAAAGCCAGACAAAGACATGACTACAAAAAAAGTATGGCCAAATGTTGGGGTACATGGCAGGAATCCCAGCACTCAGGAGGCTGAGGCAGGAGGACTGCCACAAGTTTGAGGTCCGCTTGGGCTACAGAGACTTCAAGGCCAGCCTGAACTGCACAGTGAGATCCTGTCTAAAAAAAAAAAAAAAGAAACTATGGGTCAATATTAAAGAAAAAAAATCCTCAAGAGAAGAAGAACAAACCAAACTCCGCAGCATACTAAAAAGGGTCATACAACATGACAATGTAGGACTTAATATACAAAAACAATCAGTATAATCTATCACATTATGGGAATAAAGAAAAAACCCATGATTATCTAAATTAACGCAGAAAAACATTGAAAAACTTTAAAAATTATTACTCAATAAAGTAGGAATAGGAGGAAATATTCTCAATGTAATGTCTTTATGTTGAGAATTTCAGTTAACATTGTACATTTTTAACCTAAAATCTGGAAGAGGATAAGTGCATCTGCTTTCCTCACTAGCTATAATTGTAAATTCTAGTCAGTGTAGCTAGGGAGGAAAAACAAAAGGCATTCAAATTGGAATGGAAAAAGTAAAATTGTAGATATGTCCTTAATTATGTTTATACAATAAAAAACAAATTTAGCAAAGTTGGATAAAAAATATCAACACAAAAATTACTTGCATTTCTACACATTCAACTGACAGTTTAACAATTCAAAATAGAAAAGATACCAATCCCATCTACAATAACATAAAATGAATACAATACCCAGGGATAAACGTAATGGAGGCAAAAGATTTACAAACAAACTATAAAGCATTGTTGAAAGAAACTAAGGCATAAATAAAAAGTTATTCCATTTGTTTTTAAATGTAAGTTTTACTACTTTCAGGATCATGAAGCCAACAGATGAGATGATGACTGCCACTGAAAAGACAGTTTGTTATTGAAAGTTATCCACAAGAAAGGCATACAATGCCACATAGGGGCCACATGGGGGAAACCAGGATCAGTTATAGGGAGGAGGGGAGAAGTGGGCAAGAACTGCATTAGGTTTTCTATGGCGAAGGCATGGGAGGGTGAGCGAACTCAGGGTTAGCATAATTTCCACAGGCTTTAGGGTCTAGGACCTGTTTCTGGTTAGGTCTGTTAACAGATTCGTGGTTTACTGGGATGGGAGACCATGAGTCACTGAAAAGACTATTAACTATCTTTTCTGATCACAATAAGATAAAACCAAACAGGAAGAATCACTGATAATTCTCACATATGTGGAAATATCTGGAAACATGTTCTGAACAACCATAGTTAAATGAAGAAATCAAAAGGGAAATAAATCTTAATAATGGAAACACAACACAACAAAACTTACAGAAGTCAGCAAAAGCAGTTTGAAGGGAAAAGTTTATGGCATTAAATGTTTACAGTCTCAAATGAACAGGGTAATATACATAAAGAAACTAGAAAAAGCTCAAAGTTAGAAGAAAATAAGGAAGATGAGAGCAGAAATAAATGAAAAATAATAGAAAAATATCAGATACAAGTTAATTTAGAAAGAAAAGACAAAAATCAACAAACCCTTAACTAAACTAAGGGAAAAACAGAGAAATAAATAAAATAGGAGATGTTACAATTGATCTTACAGAAATATAAAGGATCATAATAGATTACAATTGATAATAAGCCAATACATACAACTTGGAATAAATGAATAATTTCCCAGACATATTCAACTTACCAAGATTGTATCAGGAAGAAAAAGACAAGATGAATAATCAATAATAAGAGATTAAATCAGTAATAAAAAAAGTCTCTCATCAAAGAAAAGCCAAAGACCTGGTGGTAGCTTCACTAAAGAATTCTACCTCACATTTAAAGCACTACTATCAAACCTCAACTCTTACAAAAAATTACAGCAGGGAGAATAATTAAGAACCATTCTACAAGGCCTGTATTACTACGACATCAAATCCAGACAAAGACAACATAAGAAAGGAGAATTTACAGGCCAGTAATAAGGAAAGGACAGTCTCTTCAGTACATGGCACTGGGCAAATTGGTTATGCGGATGCATAAGAATAAAACGGGAGTCTTATCTCACACACTATACACAAGTGTCAACTCAAAGTGTCTATTCATGGTGTTTGCCCATTTTTAAAAAATCTGGATTGTTTCCTTACTCTTGACTTATGTATTTTGGATTCTAATTCCTTATCAGATGTATAGATTGCAATATTTTTCCCTAATGTATGGGTTATCTCTTTACTCTGTTAATTGCTTCCTTTTCTGTACAGAACATTTTCAGTTGGTTCATTTGTCTACATTTGGTTCTGTTGCCTGAGCTGTTAGGGTTAAATCCAAAAAACTGACTGCCCATATGAATGTCATGAAGTTTTTTCCAAATAGTTTTGTAATTTTGTATATTACATTTCAATCTGTAACCCATTCCATATCTGTGATTCACTCAGCTACAACAGTGGCTGTAGTTCATTTAAATTGCATTTTTATTTTATGGTACAACTGTATCATTTGGGTTGTTTGAAGTTTGGCTATTTTTATTAATGCTTCTAGGAATGTTTTAAGCAAATCTTTTTTGCTGAGTATCAGGTCTGTATATTTACCATTAGTAGCTAATGCTAAAGTTTTTCCAATATAATTGTACAAATTTTCACATCCACAAGCAATGCATGAAAATAGTTTGCTCCATATCTTCATTAATATTTGGCACTGCCAGTCTTGTCTGATTTTAGCATGTCTGGTGAGTATATTATACTGGTCTCTCACTTGTCAACTTGTTTATATTGGGAACTATATTTCCTAGACAATTCTTGCCTGATTTATAAAGTAGTGCTGCAACTGACAAAGGAAATCATGAAAAGGACATGATTAATGATTACAAAGAGGAGATAAAATGGAGAAATGGCTGATACTGATGCTATAGCTCAAGTTATTTGTATTTCTGGAGACTGAAGTCAGGCCTTCCCACATGCAAGGTAAGTGATCTAGTACTAAGCTACATTCCCAACCATTTTTATTTTTATTTTGAAATAGGGTTTCTCTAAGCTGCTTGAGCTGGTTTCAAACTAATCCTTCTACCTTAGCTTCCTGAGCAGGTAGGATTGCAGGCATGTCCCACCGTGTTTAGTTTAGAGCTTATATTTTATGGCCCACAGTTATTGCTTATTGGTTCTGTACTAAACACCATACATGTATTTCCTCACTTACACCTTACAACAGTAGGTATGGGCGATTTGGAAAAGAAAAAATTGCAGATAACATCTCAGTATCACAATAGCTCTGAAAGTTAGGTATTATTAACTCTGAAAGTTAGGTAACAGGTATTACTAATAAGAGAAAAGTTACAAGATATTCTAGAGTTAATGAGTAATAGAGTCAAGATTCAAACCTATGAGCCAGGCATGGTTGTGCACGACTGTAATTCCAGCCCTTGGGAGGCTGAGGGAGGAAGATCACTGCGAGCTCAATGCCAGCCTGGGCTATAACTGAGTTCAGGGTCAACCTGAACTACACAGCAAGACCCTCTCTCAAAAAGATTTCAAACCTATGGTTTATCAGAGTCCCTGAAACACAACAGGTAAATAAATAAATAATCATCGAATCATTGGTTAAATGGATGATGACTGGCTTTTAAACTATGAAGTTTACTAACATACTATGCTCTGGATCAAGACTATAAGAGATAATGCAGAAAAAATCAGAGATCAGAAATTTATTTTAAAAAATTAGAGAAGCAGAGAATCGGAATTGGACTGTATTTAAACTTACTTAGACAGAATTCAAAGAGATCAGTTGATCATTTCTTTATCTCAGAGAGATTTCAGGACACACTGGCATTTAAATCCTATCTGTAATAATCTTTGAAGTAGTGTTTTTTTTAACAACTAATTAAAAATACCAAGAATTTCAGTAAAACAGATTGTGCAGAACTGCCAAGAGATATAAGTTCTCAGTACTTGGCAGATACTGGAACGTACCATCTATCAGATTTGAGTGCATAGAAATAACCTAATCCTCCACATAAATTTGCCTCACCATCTCAACATTTTCTATAGAAGCTCTATGTACCATAAGAAAAACAGAGTTACCTTTAACTGGTTTTCCTTTTCCCATACAATGGATTGAACTAAGGTAAGATGATTCATAGAAAAGACAAACGCAACTATTACAGGGATGATAATAGCAGCAATTACAAAGAATAGATCAGTGTTTTGTAGTGGGTATGGAAATCTCTGAACAAAAATGTTGACACTATTGAACAGTGTTTCTGCAGCAGTGCCACTATGGTACAGCATGATGGCCTTATCCAAGGCATGTTGCACAAGCAGGAACCCTTCACTGATGTACCCTAAGTAAGAAAAGACAAAGATTGCTAAGTACAACGACCCAAAAATAGCTGACACAAAGAAAAAGGCAATGAAAGCCATGTCCCATATAATGTTTCAGTCAATAAGGATAAAATTATATCACCTAAGGACACAGCCATCTCCATCTGAGTAAGTACACTCTATGATGCTTCCACTATGGTACCAGAAAATGCCTATTTCTAAAACCTTATTCCCAGGTTAAGCAATACATGACTGTACTTTAGAAGCAGACTATATAACTAATTGTAACAAGGTTCTTCTCATAGTCTAAGTTTCAGAACAGCTATCATAGTTTTGTAACACAAATATACAAAGAGTGTCATCTGCAAATGCAGGTAACTTTACTCCCTCCTTTCTGAATGTTACAACTATTCTGTTTCCTCCAGTAATATGCTGGCCTCAAACCTTCGGTGATCTTTTCAGTTCAGCACTCCCACTCCAACTCCTGAGATTACAGGTGTGTGCCACCAGCCTGGCTGGAGTGTTTTTAAAAATATATTTTGGGGGCTGGGGATTTAGATCAGCGGCAAAGCGCCTGCCTGGCAAGCGCAAGGTTGTGAGTTCGGTTCCTGGTACCGGAGAAAAACAAAACAAAACAAAACAAAAATATTTTGTATTGGAAAAACATTAATCTTACAGAAATAATTAAAAGGCAGTACAGAAACTAGTTGTATACCATGCATTTTCAACAGCAAGTCATATTCAAAGAAATCACAAGTTCATAAATAGACCTATACCATATCTGTGATATTAATATTTCATAGGGAGGAATTAGGTGGAAAAAGTCTAAGACTTATAGCAGGGCAAAAATGAAAAAAGACTGAGAAATACTCAATATGCCTTTCATCAAGCTTTCATCACTTTCTATCCTACACATTAACAATGTAATTTCAAAACTAAGAAGCAAACATCAGTGCAATACTACCTATGATTTACATAAATTTTATTTGCATTTTTCAGTCTTTCACCCAGTGGCCTTTTTTGTTTTAGGATCCCATTCATGATGTGAAATTGTATTTAGCTGTCAGGTCTCCACAGTCTCTTCTGATCTTTGAAAGTTTCTCATTCTTTTCTTGTTTGTCTTCATCTTGACAGTTATATTTTGAATAATGTTTCATGATCTGGCTTTGTTTGTGTTATGGTTATGTCTGTGTGTCCCCCAAAACCTCTTGCAGCCCTGGGGCAGGCTATTAGAGTTTGAATATGGGTGTGAGAGCTGCACCTGCCCCGGAGTGGATAGTTTGCATATGTAAGGGACAGGAAAAGAGTGCTTGGGGCATTCCTCCCCCATTCCGCCCTGGTGTGTGTGTGGTGGCAGCTTTGCTGTGCTGCCATCCTGAGATGCAGCCCTTTGCCACGTGCCACTCTGCCTTATAATGTGCCAAGTACGGATTGAAACTTCCATGAACTGTAAGCAAAATAAACCTTTCCTTCCTTAATTTTGGGCGTCAGGTATTTTGTCCCAGCAGCGAGAAAAAAGTAACCAAGACAGTTGGGTATTTTCTCACTAAAAGATTCGGGTTATGAGATTAAGGAAGAACACCACAGAGGTGAAGTGCCCTCTTCATCTAATTATATCAAGGGATATCTGATACCAACAGGACAGCATGGTGGTGCTAACTTTCCTCACTTAGTTAAGGAGGTAAATGTGCCACTTATCATTAAACTGCTGTCTTCTCCTGACCATTCTCTACTCTTTGGAAAAAGTCATTAAATACAGCCATACTAGAGAAAAGAGCATATCTATGTTATCTGAAATTCCTTCGTGTGTAATATTTGTGTGTTCCTATTTACTTATTCAATTATTTATTTATATTTATTGGAATCATTAAAATTTATTCTATACTTTGGGTTATAGTCAATTACTCTTTTGGTCCTTTCAGTGCACAATTTCTGGGGGCTGGGGATTTAGCTCAGCGGCACAGCGCCTGCCTGGCAAGTGTGAGGTTGTGAGTTCAATTCCTCATACCAGAAAAACAAACAAACAAAAAAAGCTTAATTTCTTCTAGCTTTGGCCACTGGGAACCCTTTCAGGTTCACTCCTATGTTGGTTTGAAAAAATTTAGTCCCATTATCGTCTATTTTTTCTTTATATAAAAAGTATTTCCTTTATGGCACCATAAGATGCTCCAGGATCATCTTGTATTGTCCCTACTCCAACTCTAAAATCAGTCATGTCTCTTAAGAATCCTAGTTTGCTCTTTTGGAGAATGGTATTGAGAAATCATGATCTGAGCACTGAGTTGCTACTAAGATGTCACCACTAATAGGCCCTCCCAGTGGACAGACCTACAAAATATATTTAATATTTTAAAATATATGTAACCTGATGCTATGTTTTGTGTCTAGATGTCTCCCAAAGCCTCAAGTGGTCACAGGACTTAGGACTTTTTCACAGGCTGAATCTCGAGTGTGACTGATTTGTAGTGCAATGCTAGGATTAAGGGTGCTGGGATTTAAGGTGGGTAATTGCTGGATTAGTACACTGACTGGATTTGCACCACCCCAATTCTGGTAGACTGGATACAATATAAGGGAGAGAAAATGGCTTTCTTTCTCTCTCACTTGTTGCTTTTGCTGTTTTCTGCTGCCACTAACTGTTGCCCCTCAGTCATGTGCCACCCTGCCTTGGTCTGCATTCTGTCACCACTGTGGTTTGCATCTGAGCCCTACCTGCTCCATCAGCGGCGTGGAGACCCCAGATACTAAGGCCTGCATTCTGCCACAATCACGATTCAGGTTTATGTCCCAAAAGAGGCAGGTACATTCCATCAACTTCCTGGAGACACTAGGCCAGGCAGACCATGTTCTGCCATGATTGTGGTTTGCATCTGGGCCCTGTGTGCTCCTTCAGCTGCCTGGGGACACAGGACCATGTGGTCCATGTTCTGTAGTCTACATCCGGGGCCTGCAGGCTCCATCAGCTTCCTGGGGGCATCGGACCAGGCATTCCCTGTTCCGCTGCCATCACACTTTGTGTCTGAGCCCTGAGAGAGCTGGATACAGTACATCAACTGCCTGGTGACCCTGGACTGGGCAGCCCATCTCTGCCACTATTGTGGGGCAAGTCTGAGCCCCAGGAAAACTAAGGATGCTAACTAAGGACCTTTGGTGAGCTGCCAGGGAAAGGTGAGACTGGACACTCTGCCTCCGGCATCAAAAATGACAAGATGAAGAAGCAAACTGTAATCTCAGAACTACCCCCCACCAAGGACAAGTCCAGGAGACATCAACATAGGAGAATTTAGAAATCACACACCTGAAATCTCTGAAATGATTGCAACTGAAGTGAAGAAACAATTCCATCAGGCTATGGAAGAAATCAGATCAGAAATAATCTCTCAGGTAAAAAAACCAAATGAAAACAATAATGAAAGAATTAGCACATCTAAAGAAGACATATAAAAACATAGACGAGGATAGAAAAATGATGGAAATGTTCAATGAACAATATAGGAAAAAACTACAGTGCATGAAACAGATTCAAAGAGATATCCAGGAAATCAAAATTTCATCAAAAGCTGGCAAAACCACTTGAATGAAGTCTGAGATAGAATTTCAGATCTTGAAGACAGCATTTCAGCTAACAATCATGAAAGGAAGGGTCTCTTAAAAATAACAAGGGACCAGCAAATATCAATTCAACAACTGCAAGACGAGGCAAAGAGAAATAATGTAAGGCTAATAAGTGTCAACAAACAACAGGAGGCAACACAAATGACATAAAAAGAATATCTGCAGAACTAATAGCAGAAAATTTCCTAAGCATGGAAAAAGGAATCTGACATATAGTACGTGAGGCATATAGAACTCCAATTAGCCATATTCAAAATAAAACTACACCCCGACATATAATAGTCAAGATCCCAGAAATCCAGCAAAAGAACAGAATATTAGAAGCCGTTAGAGAGAAGACACAGATTACCTATAAAGAAAAGCCCATCAGAATCATGGCAGATTTCTCATCACAAACCATCAAGTCAAGAAGAGCTTGGAGTGAAGTATTCCAGGCCCTAAAACAAAACAACTTCAACCCAGATTGATCTGTCCTGCAAAATTATCCTTCAAGTTTAATGGAGAAATAAAATATTTCCTGATAGACAACAACTGAATAAATTCATGAGCACCAAACTAATCACACAAAGAGAACTGGAAGATATTTTAGAAGGAGATAAAAATGACCACAATTTCAAGAACAATAGAAAAGAACCAACAAGCACAGCAAGCAATTAAACAGAGAGAAAAAGCAGGAAATCAATAGCAAGTAAATAACATGACAAAGATAAGCCAACACATATCAGTTATAACCGTTAATGTAAATGGACTCAATTCACCAATCAAAAGAAGCAGACTGGCAGAGTGGATCAAGAAACAAAAACCCAACAATATGCTGCATAGAAGAAACACATTTCACTCAAAAGAAAATCCACAGACTGAAAGTCAAAGGATGGAAAACAATACTCCATGAGACAGGAACCCAGAAAAAAGCAGGGGTAGCTATTCTGTTTGCAGATAATGTGAACTTCAAACCAAGAATAATCAAAAGAGATAAAGAAGGTCACTACCTACTTGTGAAGGGAAAACTGCAAGAGAAAGAGATGACAATCATAATTGTTACCAATGTATGCACCAAGTATGGGACCAACTATATAAGACACATCTTAATAGACATGAAAAACCAAATAACTAATAACACTATTGTAATAGGGGACCTAAACACCCCATTGACTCCAAGAGATAGGTCAACTAGACAAAAAAATCAGCAAAGAAATAACAGATTGGAACCAAATCTGTGAACAAATGGACATATAAGATGTTTACAGAGTGCTCCACCAACAACATCAGAATACACATTCTTCTCAGCTGCACATGGGACATTCTCTAAAATAGACCACATTATAGCCCACAGAACATGCTTACCTAAATGCAAAAGAACAGAAATTATTTCATGCATATTATCTGACCATAGTGCAATGAAAAT